GGAGGGCAATGAATGTACAGATGTGCTTTACACAATTGATGTATGTATGGATTGTGATGAGTCGTATGAGCCCCTAATAAAACGATTTAAAAAAAAGAAATATAAAGACAATATTAAGTTTGAAGATTTCCTGTAGGGCAGTGCTTATGAATTTTGAGAAAAATCTTAATAGGACTACACAGGTGTTGAATTTGTGTAGTCTTTTGTTTGGTTTTTGTGTGTTTTAATTTGGCTTCTGTTTTCATGGCTGTTTGTTTTGTTGTTTGACTACAATAAAGAATCCATAAATACTTTAATGTTCATTTTATGTCTAATGTTTCATAATAACATTAAGAACATGCTTTTCATATGTGCACTTTGATTATATGTAGACTAACTCTGTATTTTTATTAATAAATCATTTTATTGGGGGCTTACAGCTCTTAAAAAAAAAAGAATGTCCTCAACATGTGGTGTTTGTAGGTTAATCTGAACACAAACGAGAAGAGCTTTTTCTTAATGAAGTTTTCTGAGTCAAGGGAAAGTCCAATTATGTCTGAAAAGCAAAAGCCAAGCCCGATAGCATCTGTCTCCCACTGCAGCCCCTTCCATGCTGCAGGCCACACACAAGTTCTGTGCTCTGTTCTGGCAACACAACCAAATCGCAACTGAGCCCTGTGTGTCCTCATTGGCTGATGCACTAGACAATCCTTCCCAGGCCCTCACGAGCTGGAGCCTCACACTGGACACACCTCAGTTGTCAAAAGGACACCACTTACTGTCATCATTAAAAGGATTTCTTGCATAATTTTAAGATGACTAACATGATTTTGAGCCAAGAAAATGGAAAATATCCCATAATATTTCATAGCACACCATGTATGCAAAAATACTTGTACAATAAGTAGAATAAGATTGGTTTCTTTTTAACCTTTAAAAAAAAAAGCCAGCCTTAAAAAAATTAGACATTTATGATATTAAAAGAAAGAGGCAAAGGTAACAGAATGATGCCAGAAAAGGGAGGAATTAAATCCACAACGGATACATTTCTAGTTCCTTTACCAAAGATTCTCAGATTGGAAAACACTTGTAAACAGCTTTCATTAGAAGTCAATACTGGATGAATGCTATTAGAAACTTTCAGGAGTGTTCTCGAGTGAGAACCTGTGACCCGTAAGGCCCATTTGCAAGAGTTCACCGGAATGTAATGCTCTCCATCCACACGCACTTGTACCTCGGGTGTCCATCAGGTGGAATCCCAGAGCCAAGGGACATGGCCCTTGATACAGTTGAGACTGTTATCTATGTTACGCTAGATAACAAGATCAATGTGGCTTTAAGCCACATTTATTTTTGAAAGCAACGTGGCATGAAATCCTTATCAAAGAATGCGCACTTTTAAGATTTCCTGTTTTTTATAGTTTATAAACAGTGATGCAAGGCAGGTAGAATTGTTTAAGAAAACAAATGGTATCCGTTAGGCAGAAGCGTTAGAAAAAGGAGGAAAATGATTACCGTTAATATTACCATAGGAAGCAGATGTCTGTCTTAATATATTTTTTCACTCTGAACTCTTCAATTAAGAAATGCGCACTAAAGTCACTGTTAAGATTTGTGCTCAATGCTTCTGTGTTTTATTCTAGAGGGAGGATACATTTTTAATCTGAGGATAAATTTAGGAGGCCAGATCTTTATTCTACAACTAATGTTTGTTTCTTGTCCTCTGCTCTATTCTCCAAATGACTTCACAGAGTCCTATGCTAGCTAGTGTGGTTGCTGGGACTCTTGAATTCATTCCTGCAAGTAACTCCTTGTGTAGCGCTCACAATCCCATAAGCTGTTAAATGCTGGTAAGCCAAGACATCAATCTGAGAAAGGGTTTGGCAACGAAAGCTAAAAGTGCTTTTGTTAAAGACAAGGGGGAAGGTATTCTATGGCCGACTGCATATTCTATGTTCACCAAGTGGGACAAACAAGAAAATGGCTGACATTGATGATCTAGATAGGATTGATGTCTTCATCAGTCCTTGAGGTAGAAAACTTACTACTGAAGGAGTAAATCTATTCACATGAAAAATGTTTAAATAAAAGTTTGGTCTTTTTTTAAAAAAATAAGCAAATCTACTTTATCACACTTTAGGGCGATAGAAGCCTAAATTCAGACCACGAGAAGGAAACTGCATTCTTGGGGAAGGTCCTTGTTTCTTTTCATCCTGGTGCCTTGGTGATTTTCTTTCTTTTAAATAAAAAAAGTTTTAAAATCGCACAAAAATGTTATGAATGTCCCATCTGTACACTCAATAAAAGCTTAAAACTAAATCCATCAGATTTACAATGAGATTCCATTTATGGAAGCTTTTTATATGTTTTATTTGTTGATCTTTCACTTGCTTACGTCACACTTAGCTCAAATCAAGGAAGAGGCTAACCTTCTATGCTTGGCAGGCCTTTTACTTGCTCATTCACGCTCTCTGTCCTGCTGAGAGAGGGCGAGATGGGGAGAATGAGGATGAGCTTGCATTGTTTCTAGGGGACCCAATGCTGGTAGTCTTAGGACATGGGGAGAAAGGTTGGGGGGTGGGGGCAAGAGAGTCCTAAAAGATGCTCTACCTCTGCACTGAGTTTAGATCGCTGGGTTTCCAGGCTGGCTATCTGCAGAAATGGGGAATTTAAGGGCTCCTTCACCTACCCCTCAAATAGTGTAAATAGGTCATGAATTGTGTTTTAAAAGCACTGGTTTTGAGAAAACCCATGAGTCATGTCCTCGTGTCCCTGCGAGCTTTCCTTGGAGGCAGATCATCTGGCAGAAGGTACATGGGGAGGAGGGAAGGGTGGGGGGAGGCCTGGGCAGGAATTGCAAGGAGGGGCTTCCTTCTCTGCGTTCCAGGGTGCCCTCTGCAGGCAGGGGAGAGAACGTGGTTGTGTGCTTCAGCAATGTCTGACAAACACACACAGCTGCCTGTTCCAAAAACGATCCTCCACAAGCACCTGTCAAAACTTAGCCCCATGCTGACGATGCTGCGACGAGGCAGCCCCTCAGGGAGAGGATGCGGCCTTCAAATGCTGCCATCGTCAGAGTGGGCACTGGGCTTCCGTTACACTGACCCAAGAAACAGAGCACACGGGCACGGCAAGCTCTGGAAGCAAAGGAAGGGCTGGCGGATGGTGACTGACCACGCTGGCTGACACGGTCTGGGGACAGGACCACAGCTCCGCGGGTCATTTTTTCATTTTCCCTTTGGCCACCACCTCGGTGTAGGAGGTGTGGATGAATTCGTAAAGCTGCTTGGCGTTTGCGGCATTCCCCAGGATACCGGTCAGCCTCTCTTGGGATAAGGTTGCCAGCTCCACCATGTTCTTCACGTGGGTCATCAGGGCGCGGCAGTTTTTGGCGCTGATCCCTGGCATTTTCAACAAGAAGTCCTGGGGCCCGGGGTTGTACTTCTCCGACTCGGGGAGGGTGGCCGAATCTGCTGAGATGGCCATGGCGGCAGCCGCATCCGGCTGGGGCCGGTTTTGCTTGAGCTCCTCGAAGAGCTCAGCAGTGGCGTGTGGGGAGGGGCACCAGAGGAGGCGGAGCCGGGGGAAGTGCAGCGTCAGCAGCGTGAGTTTGGAGCTGACATCGCTGCCTGAGATCTCCTGGTGGAAGGCACCCCGGGGCGTGAGCGAGAAGGGCTTACTGGGGTCGAACTCGATCAGGAGCAGCGGCCGCTTGTAGTAGCGCGCCATGGACACGCACTGGCTGTACAGCCGGCCGTTATTCAGAGAGCCGATCAGGTCGCTGATACTCTTGCGCTCCACACACATTTCTGGAGTCAGGATGTAATCGCCGACCTCCAAAGTCACTGGTTCAATGTCAATGCCCCGACGATGGAGCAGCGACGGCAGCTCACTCCGGAACTCCCGCATATCCACCACTATACTTCGCTGAGGACTGCTCTCTTCCTGGCCACCTAGGAAGAAGTTGTCACATTTTATGCCATGTCACTGAGGACGAGTTCTGGGGGGATAGAATATAACCACGTTTAAAAGCTACGTTTCCTTAACGATTTCTCCCTTGGCTGAGCAGGTAGGTTAAAACCACCAACCTTGAGTTAGCATCCCACCATTAATCCACAGGCCCCATGTGGGCTCCTTCTAGCTAAACTCACTGCCACTGAGTCAGTTTTGACTTCCAGCGACCCAATAGGGCAGAGTAGAACAGTCCTGACGGGTTTCTAAGGTTGGAAATCTCAGAGGAGCATGCAGCCTCATCTTCCTCTCTTGGAGAGGCTTGTGGTTTCAAACTACTGACTTGGCAGGTAGCCGCTCGACACATAACCAGGTGGCATAGTTGGGTTTCTTAGAGAGGTGTAAATCAAAACCATAGTAGCTTCACACCCCACAGGACTGCTAGGATGAAAAAAACAAGGCAAAGCCCCAGAAAATAACAAGTGTTCCCAAGGATGCGGAGACTCGGAAGCCCTCACACATTGCTGGTGGAAACTCAGATGGCACAGCTGCTGTGAAAGACAGTTTGACATTCCCTAAAAAGTTATGTGTGGAATGACCATGCCACCAGCAAATCTCAACAAGAACCAACAGCAGGTACTCGGAAAGCTAGCGGCATAGCAACGCTCACTGCAGCACTATTGACAGTAGTGGGAATGCCCATCGACAGATGAATGCTAAAATTCAGAAAGATGCATCTTTCTCCCACCGAGCTGGCTGGTGCTTTCTAACTGCTGACCTTGTGGTTAGCACTTTGCCACCGGTCTCCTCTGATAGATGTCTAGATATGCAAAACATGGTAGAGCCACACAAGAGGATATCATACAGCCTTAGAGAGAAATGGAATCCTGCTACACATGACAACCTGGATGAAACCTGAAGACATCACGCTGAATGAAGTAAACCAATCACAATGAACAAATACTGCATGCTCTCACTTATATGTGAAGATGATTAGTGCTTGCCAGAGGGTAGAGGAAGGGAGAGAAGGGAGCTTTGCATAGAGGCCCTGAGGCTGTGAGACTGGTGGAGGAATGGTCTGGAAGAGATCATGAGAATGGTTGCACTGCATGAAGACTAGTGTCGCTGAATCACACATGTAGAAAGCTGGCACACGTTTTGTTCTACACATGTTCATCACAATAAAATAACCAGTTTTGCTACATTCTGGGGCTCAACCAATCAAATGTAGCCAAGACGTGGGACCATCACTCACCCCTCAACTCCAGTGCCTACGTTCTGGGCTGAGGGGCCGTAGATGTAGGGAGGACATGCAGCAAGAGTGGAGATTGGAGTGTGGGAGTGGATACCCCTAACCTTCTGAGTTGTTGGGGAAGGCCAAGTGTGCAGTGCTCGGAGCATCACGGCTCTGCTCTGAGAGCAGGGGCGCACTCACCTGCTTTCCGAGTGTCTCGGGGAACATCTGTGGATGTGCTGCCTCTTGCTAAGTCTAGGTTGGTTTCATCTCTGCCTTCTCTTTCTTCAGGGATAACCATGCTAGCCTTTTCTCTGAGAGGGAAACATTTAATTTCGAAAGTCAAGATTTTAAATTGTTACAAATTTAAGTGCATGAAATGAGCTGCAGAATCATAGTGGCAAAAGAGGGCATGAAATACATAAACAACGGTGCGGAGACAAGTGATTAGTGGTTTTGAACAACTGATCTTGTGGTTAGGGCTCCTTGAGAAAGGGTTAGATAAGATTAGAAACTTTTGTACTGTAGACAATAATGTAGGACGAAGGGTAGGTATCTGTTTTTTGCAGCCGGCCTAGATCAGTGGCCCCCAGGGGGAGCTATCGCCCACTTTGGGAAGCAATGATTTAGAAACCCTATGGGGAGCTCAGCTCTCTCGGAGTCATTCAGAGTCTGAATGGATTGGGTGGCCCGGACCTGGCTTTCTTTTGGACTCTGACCGATGTAAACCACTACTTCAATGATCCAAACTTGGTCTCCACCTACTCTAACACACTGAGGTGTCTTGATTTTGCTTTCAGATCTTCCATGATCTCTACAGAACTTGAGCACCATGGCAACACAGGGAGGAGATGCTGAATGAGAAGTCTCCTCAAATGGGCATTTATTCAAACCCTCACGTAACCAGGTGTGCAATCATCTTTTCAAACTGTAAAACTTCAAGTAATCTTGCCTCTCTCCAATGAGAGGCTTCGATCTCCTCTGAACTATACTTAGGATACGAATATGATGTTCCCTATCCAGGAAGCAGTTTATTAGCAACACTCAGACGTGTGATCTCTCTCCTGTTTGACACCCATAATCTACTGGTCCAGTTGAAGATCTCTGTCCTACCAGATGGCCTGGCCTGCTCCTTTCCGGCTGTTTTAAATAGGAGCACTCCTCTTTTCCATACATCACTGCTCATGGTGGGTCTCAGACTTTAACAGTAGCTTTTCTTATTCTATTAATGCGTCTCTCTGTAGGCGCTCAGTGAACATGCTTCTCCAGCAATGCACTCTCTAAGTCCCTGGGTTTTCTGGGGAGCACACCTCTGCAGAGTTTAGAAGGTGTGATCATGTGACTGCTCTGCAGACTGGAAAGATCAGATTTAGGTAGATGATCACCAACGAGAATTTTAGCAAACTAGGCCAGAGGAGAGCTACATTTCCACGAAAAGCTGATATGGGTATTCTTAAATGGAGTTATATGTAGGTGAACTCATACCTGAGTTTCTTAGTGCTACTGTAAAAGCAACACCCCAACGGGGGCAGCTTTAGTGAACAGAAGGTTCTTTTCTCACACTTGAGGTGGTAGGACCATGGTGCCCGTCAAGGGAAAGACATGTTCTGGGGGAGGGTCCTTGTTTCTTGTCTGCTTCTGTTCCTGCGCTCCTTGGTAAGCCGGTGGCATGTATCTTCCTGTGGGTGCTTGCTCTAGCTTGCTTTAATCTGTTCTTTTAGATCTCAAAAGGGCCTGATTTGACACACCCTACACTAATCCTGCCTCGTGAACATAACAGACAACTCAGTCCCAAATGGATTCTAAGCTCAAGCAGAGGGGTTACAATTTACAACACACATTTTTTGGGAACAGACTTCAGTCTACCATAGTCCACTTTCCAGTTTCTGCTGAGAGGGCTTTCCAGTGTGTGCTGGGCTCATCCACACCTTCAGGAGTCCTCTGGTGTGTGGGTTAACTTTCATAAATCAAGGAAAACACGGGCTACCCAATACCTGCCTACAATCTACTAAAAGTACCCCATTCTAGATTGTTATGTGCTATCAAGTCAATTCCAACTCCTAACTACCCCCCGTGGTAGTATAGAATGGCCCCATCGTGTTTCTTCAACTGATTTCTACGGGAGCAGCCTGTCGGATCTGTTATCTCCTGGAGATAGCTGCTGTGTGTCTGAACTGCAGGTCTTTTCTTTTTGTATTTAAATCATGTTATGGGGGCTCGTACAACTGTTATAGCAATCGATATATACATCCATTGCGTCAAGCACATTTGTATATTTGTTGCCCCCATCATTCTCAAAACATTTGTTTTGAACTTGGGCCCTTGGAATCAACTCCTCATTTTCCTCCCTCCCTCCCCACTCCCCCTTCCCTTATGAGCCCTTGATAATTTATAAATTATCAATATATTATAAATATTATATTTATTGATAATTTATAAATTATCAATATTTATTATTATTATTATTTTATCATATCTTACACTGCCCGGAATCTCCCTTCATCCACTT